ATTATAACTGTAGAGAGGAGGTTGAAGTGCAGAAAGTTCTGAGCGTTCTTCGAGACCCCTCCTCTAGCCCCTCCCCGGTCTCAAGTAGGTGAGCCTACCATTTTTTTATAATTACACAAGGCAACTGAATGCTCAAATGCCAGATAATGCACTTTCATATAATTGATATCTTTTTCGTTTTTAAATGCGAAAGAAAACATTAAGGCACACAATTTGGCTGCCTTTGCTTTACAATTATCGTTGAACTTTGATTTCTACTGCTAATCCTTATGAGCTGTTCCGCTTTAACCTAGCTTTATTCAACTATCTGTGTTTATACGATCTTGCATAGTCTGATATCGATTGAATCACTTTATTCTTAAGAATGACATAATTTGACTACAAATTAGCAAATTAACGCCATCAGAGGACTAACTACTGTATAAAGTACGTCGAAGCGCCTATGTTACCGGCCAGCGTTTAAAATGTATGTGTGCAGATATGGGCTTATCGGTTCAGAAACAAAAATTTGTATTTCATGCAGACTTTCTGTTTGATATATATAGAAGATATTGTAGCTGTTATGATACTATTCACCTGTTGTCATGTAAAATACAAAAGTTTTCGTTGCTGAAGCAAACTATTGTTAGATGGTCCTTGCACCGCACAGCCAGTATAAAAGAATTAAATGATTATCTGATAGGATGGCGATTGTAAAGGAATGAGAGCTTTACGAGGGCATAGAAATCACCAAAAACAAAATCATAATGGTTTGGAAACACACTTTAATTTATTACTAGTAGTGAGTTCTCATCAATCTCACGGTTAGAAGCGTTTACTGCTGACATTTCTCAATTATTCTCTCTACTTAGAAATCAAATGCGGTGAAAAACACATAGCGCTTTCGAATTCTCCACGGTCTGTAAACTAAATGTCCAACTGGAGTGAGAGAAAGTCAAACAAAAACAGTAATATCTGTTACTTTTGGGCTTTAGGGGTTGCAGTAGCTGGCTTTCATTGACCCCCCTAGCCAGAAAAGCTCTCCTGCAAAAAAGGTAGCCGATTATTTAGGGAGCATTCAACTCACGATGAGTGAAACACGTCCCGCCTATAAGGAGCAAGAAATCGTTTTTTTTTAAACATTTTCGTCTGACTAAAGTTTATTTTTGTGCTCAGCTCAAGGACCAAGCAGTGTTGAAACCGATATCGAATCTGCCCAGACGCTGCACGCCGAAATGGACAAAAAAAAATGTTATTTGAATGAAAATGAAAATGCTCGCTTGGACACTGCCTTTAAGAAGCTAATTGCTAA